GTAAACAGCTATTAGAAAAAAATAAAACACAGCAACTCTGAATAAATCACTACAGTAGAAAACTTGATTACATTAAAAAAAATAGCTAGACATGATGCATTATTTACAAGGTATAGAAAGATGTGTATAATACAACAAAAGTTATGAACTAAAGCAAAGCATGATTTTGATAAAGAAACCAACATGCAACTAAGGCATGGAGTGGAGAGCTGCCTTTCCATCATGACAACCAAAGATGTTTCTTTACACCTACATATGATTAACAGCAGCAGTAAAGCTTTACTAGGCCCCCATAAAACATGTCAACTTTCCTGAATGGACTTGTAATGCATATGAGTGTAATACATGTTTACAGCCATTAACCAATAAACCCAATATGATATTTATTACATGATGAAATTATAAAGTGAATATACTAAGTTCATGGACTGTGGCTGGAAGTGCACCTAGGAGGAGTAACTGCTTGAAAGATAAGCAACATTTTCCTCTTTTCCAACTTTTTTTTGATCAGTTTTTAATTCTTATGCTAAAGATGTCTTATCATTATCATGGAAAAACAAACAAACATTAATCTTTGGTATTTAATACTTTTCAGAGGTTTGATTATCACAAAAGACTTATTCTAATAACATTTTTAATAGTCAAACAAAAAGTATTTGAAAATTTACCGAGAGATTAAAGACTTTTTCAAATATAAGATCCATATAAAATGTATAACAATACAGACATACACATCAGTTATTCTATAAAACACTTTAAAAATAAATATTGAAGATAAATATATTTTGTATTATTTTGTTAAATAATAATCCTAAGTAAACATCTATTTAAATCTTACCTTTAACATTAACAAACAAATTAAGTTCCAATTCTTAATAATGATATCCAGCAGTGTAATAAGGTGAGATATAAATTGCTATCAATGAAAATAAGAGACACCATTTTGGATAAAGAAGGAATCTATATGACTGCATGCACATGTATACAAGAAACTATTAAATATAAAACAAGGAAACATGGATATACATATAAATGCTGTTCATGCTCTGAGAAAAACATATATTCCTTTACTTTTTAAAAATAAAACATTGAGATTCTGAAATTCTTGCTTTCAATTTCATTTGACACGCTGGACATCTTGTAAAATTCATCTAAAAATTTCCCATAAATCTAAGAGATTGTTCTCCTAAAAACATGTTACACAAATAATATACGAACAATATTAAATATATAAATGATAAAAATGACCAGACCTGTTGTGACTCAATTACCAAATTTCCCCATATAGAACCCTGGTGCCCTTATTACAAGACATTCTAAGGGACTCTTTGTGTCCCAAATCCCTTTATGGTATTACAAAATTGCACGTGCAACATCACCTTCATTCTCAGTCCTCAAAATATTTAAAATTTTGAGGGAGGCTTTAAGGGAGGGTTAACCTAGCCTCACAGCCAACCTCTTTTCCTTGATAAGCTCATTCAAAATTACCTCAGTAGTCTCACTAACAATCAAAACATATTTCAAATGAGTGTTCAAGCATATTAAGGCTGCTAACTCTTGCAAAAAATGTAAACCATCATTTCAACAGCTAGTGGAAGGTGTGAGGCTTTGCCATCAGTTTGTTGTAATACCATAAGTTAAGGGTTCTTCAAGATAGGGCCTTATTGGAGGGCACTCATTAAGGGTTCCTTAAATATGTTTTGTAATATGAGGATGAACCCTCAATGTCACACCATTCTAAAATTCTATTAAGTATATGTAGTTCCACTTTTTGCTAGGTTGCCTCTCTTCTGAATACACAGGTGGTTTCTTTTAAATTGAAGATACAATAGTCATATGTATAACAACATCAGGAAGTGTGCATTTAATCCTTTATCACCACTCCAACTCATGTAAATAGTGATAAGTCTATTGAGATTCCATATAATACCACATTGTAAGAGGCAGGTTTTGATCATAAAAAAAAAATCCAGTTCTTGCAAAACCGATCAATGACAAGAGTAAAATTATCTATACTGATTATACGAAGGATGCTTACTGGACACTTGGCCTGATAACTCCAGGTAGCAAGACAAGGGGCAATTCTGACAAAAAATGCAAGCAAGCTATGGTTTGGTTTGACTTGCTTTATCTTGCTGAAACCAATTTTACATTCCTAACATCCAGTTTGCTAACAGCATAAACAACCACCATAATAATATGATGACACAGTTTCCATCACAATGAATGACAGTAGAAATCAGGGAAGAAAACTGAATGAACACTGGGTATTGTAATAATTGTGCATTTAACAAGGAGGAAATCTATAATCGCTTTGGTTTGCATTAACTAAAAATATGAGAGGAAATAAAAATAATAGCAAAAAATACATAATTTCCATAGCCTGAAGTAACAAATTTTATCAGTAACTAGAAGAAAAGAAATATCTACATAATTTAATGCACTAATTACAAAAAAATAATATATGCTATTATACAGTATTCATATTGAAAATTTAGAATAGAAATAAAAGCAAATCTAAATGCTATCTAACCTTCAGGGTGGTCATAATATGATCATAGTACTTATCTTCTAAGGAACAGTAATGCTATCAGTATGCTCTAGTTAATAGTTCTGGTCAGCACTGCCATAATTACAACTTGGTAGTTTATAGGATTATCTATTGGTCAATAATCAAAAGTATTAAATTATTATCATGAATTACACTGTGAAGACATTCATTCTCATTCATACCTTTTCCACAAGTGAATCCACATAAAAGGCTAAGAAAGACCTCAGATGATGGTAAAAAATAAAATCATACATTACAAAAAAAAGACCATCAAAAATGCACAGATGGCATGGGTTATGGCTGAAAACAAAACCTGTGCAAGGGATGGTCATTTGCTCTCCATACACACCCAGAGTCATCAGGTGGGTATCAGGTCTCTATGGTAAGCAAACCTTTTTCTTTTGTGCAATCTCACTGTTTTATTTCAGAAATATGAGGGCACTGACTGGGTATCAAATTATGAGAAGGATATCTATGGTTATAAAACAGATGTATAGTCATTTCACTATGGCAATGATAGGAAGATTGCACAGTTGTCTGGAAGAGCATATCATAAACTTGGCTTACTGATGCATTGTCACTTGAAAAATTACAGCCGGATCCTGAAACAACTGAAAGACAAAGAAAAAATGTTAGGAGGGCAATTCAATTTCCTTGTAAAAGCAATTTCTCTGGATCTTGTAAACAGGAAACAAGATGTTGTTAACCATAAATTAAATAATAATTCTTTGTGAGGTGAATTCAAACTTCCATTTCTAAATCTAAAGAGTTCTACCATAATATAACCTTTACATAATAAAACAACTATCACATCTTACTTAGCAAAGTCTGCAGACTTGGATATGACATGTTCAAATTCTGCAAAAGCTAGCATGCCATCATCATCCAAATCAGCTTCTTCTAAAACCCTTGTGACCAATGCCTGAAAGAGATGTGAAACTTTTTTTTGAGTTTCATCAATCAATATTCAAACTATCCTGTGAAGTAAGTCGATAAAAAATTACAATTTACTCACATCACTGTCCGTCTTATAAAAGATTTTCCACTGACTTTCTATAACATCCTGAGCAAAATCACATTCACATGTTTGCAATATGAGTGACAATAATTTAAATACTGAATTCTATTTCTGTCCAGGCAGTAACATCACTGCAGTAACAACACTAACAATGATATGTAGGAAGAAAAGCAAAATATAAAGTACACATACCTCCATGTCTTCAGGCTTGAACTGCTGGGGAGCAACAAGCTTGTTGATTGTTTTTTCTAAATCTCTTCTGCCAAGATAGTCATCTCCATCAAAATCTATCAACAAAAACAAAATAATTTTTGAAGTAAAATATGAATGAAGTTTTGTTGTAGCACTAGATTTTTTTCCCAAAGTACATACTAAAATCAATGAATATCATATGCACATATCCTGAGGAAGAAGTCTTTGATCTCTTTAAGTATTCTTAGACTTCAGATAACTAAATTGCTCTTTGTCACTGGCATCCCACAATCAACTTAATATTACACATGCCTACCAAAAATGCGGAATGCATATTCTGCTTTCACTGTTTTCGGAGCTGCTTCACTAAACACAGACATCATATCTAGAAAATCTTCAAAGGTGCAGTCACCATCCTGTGGAAAGAAATGTTTGAAAAATCATAATAAAAGTTACAGAGAAACAGATAAATTAAGAAGATAAATTGATAAGAAAAAAATAAAACATGTATATTACAATTTTGAAATTGGCAAGTGATAAACAATGCTTTACTGTAGCTTTACTCATTACCTTCAAGATACATATACAGTTTTGTGGTCCTGTTCTTTTTAAGCTCTAACATATGGTGTAAACTAACCTGACAAAATTACCTCTATCTTCATTCATGTGCACTACAAAATCTATCAACTATATAATAATGACAAAATTTTCAAATATCTATGATCATGTTGCTGCATTAACCCTTCAATCCGGATGACATGACCATCATGTCATGAAAAAATTTGGCTTGAGGCCTGGTTGATATGAACATGGCGCCACAGGGAAATCTGGCTGTAGGCTAGGTTGATGTGATTATTTAGCATTTAGAAAGGGGATTTTGTATCATTTCCATTGGTGACCGAGTTTGGAATGTAGTATCCGTGAACCATGACTTGAAGAGTGCTAGCTCCAGGGAGGACCCCATTTCCATGCTGAGCATCCTATTCCTGGCTGCCATGACTGGCAGCACAGTTTGTATCAGAGAAAATTGAATATTACAAAAAATATAAACAATTACATAAATAACATGTTACTTTTTGTTATCATTCTTGCACTGAGTTTTGGACTACCTAGAGAGATAATATGGAGTCTGTGCAAGGAAAACAGTCTATTACAATCTGGATAAAGTAAATCAAATGACAAATATGGACAATGGAAAATGGCAATAAAGCTAAAAACGCTTAAGCATAAAAAGAGAAAATAACACAGCAAAGGTGAGGCATAGAGTCTTGTTACCACTCACAAGTGTTCACATGCACCCAGCCTACAAGCTGCAGATGCGTCAGAGCGGCTGCTCATATAAGCCTAATGCCCATATTTTGGGCCATGTGACTGCCATGAAACAAATGGATCTTATGGGTTAAATATCTGCTACTTACTACATCTCACTTCAGATAATTGTTTTCATCATCATACCTTTGTCGATGAGAAGATGAGGCACATTCGTTCTCCAAATGGATTGGCCTGCAGTTCTGGGAGTGTCAAGAGCTTGTCCATGGGTAGTTTTGCATTACGGTTGTGTCCTACTTTCTCTGGGGCCAACTGCTTGAAGCGTTTATGGGCACTGGCATATCAGAGTATAAATATTAATGCATATTCTAAAACTTAGTCAATGCATCTGAGTTATATAAGCTCATTCCACCTCTTCAAAAGCAATTTTAAAATTTTGAATCTTAATACTAATATGAGTACTTAAAATGCATTATTATAAAAAATAAAGGAAAAAACACTTACTATAATATCTCCTTCTTGGTGAAATATGTCAGATCCTAAAAGATAATAAATTTAATCAGTTTATATTATATCAAAAGGAGCTGTAAATATTTTGAACACTTTTTGGTTGATACAGAAAATAACTAAAAACAAAATCTTGAATGAAATAATCATATACTGCATTCTATATGCTCTATCCTGTTCTAAGCTCTACAAGTGGTGACAGTCATAGAAGAGAAAGTTAATAGTGTCTGAGAATTACCAGCCTTTATGGCTTAGTCTATCACATCACAGACATGCAACACGTCACCAATGGGTAACAAAAAGGAGTGAGATAGGGTTACTCTTCACACACTTTTGTATCATAAGCTATAATCAAAACAGAGAGTGGCGATTAAGTATCCAATGAATAAACTCATCCACTGTTACCAGCCATTCACCTCAACCTTTGTCATAATAATAACAATGGTTCCTAAGGATGGTTAACAATAATTTAATACATAACCAGAGCTTCACTAGCCACCAAGTCAGAGGAAAAAACAATCTAATGTTTTATAAATGAAGCAGATGGCATTCACCAGGCACGAACAAGAAAGTCAATGGAGCCAAAAAGAATCATAATACAATATTGTACCGTCAGACTTGTGAGAGCTCTAACCATGCCAATAAAATTTGTAATAGATCACTATGTCATGACAGAGGTTACAGCATGTGGTTAAATTTCAAATTAGAATTATGAAGGTTAGCTTTACATATGTGAGAAAAGCACTACATTAATTTTGTTTCTGGTATTATGACTGATCTATCAAAGCTTGGAAAACATATCAACAAGATCATAGGTACTATGTTTACAACACCCAGACTGTAGTATTTTTCTTGCGTGGGGAATATAAAAATTTTTCATGCACGGAAAACATCATTATGTCTACATCTGCGTGGACAGATCTACGGACGGATGATGCAACAAGTGCGAGGAGATGTCAAAAGAATTTTAAGTGCAGTAGATGATTTAAAAAAGACCTAAGTGTGCGCGGAAAGTTACCCAAGAACTACATTGGCGCGGACAGAATTTGACCAAATTATTTTTGCACAGGAAAAGCCTTCCCCGCACAGACCAAACTCTACAGTCTGGTAAAACACTGATTTAAGATCATTCTAGTGATAAGAGAAATCCATTGGTACTGCTGTCATCGCAATCCATTACATTGAATGATTACGTACAATTACCTATGGTGGATGTATTCCAGAAAATTACCAACTATTCTTTATTATGACTACCTTTGTCATCCTCTATTTCTCATGGTCCTGCATTAGATAAATTTCAATTTCCTATACTGAATATCTTACCACATCTAATATTAAATCAACTCCGCTTACAAGTCTACCAAAACAAGCCAGCATTTCAGAGAAACTTAATCAACAACCATTTTCACATCTGGTTTTAATTCACGCCTTAGTGTCTGCATAGATCAATGATAAATTATGAACATTCATCCTGACTTACAATTTTTTCTTTCTTTTATTTTATGCCAATTCTTTCTTTGTTTTGCCTTGTTTTCATCTTTCACACTGCGTCTTCTTTAACCCAATACAGACCTGATATTCTTCTAATTCCATTTCGGTGAACTGGCTGTTTCCCTGCCCCATCTTGAACACCAGCCACAGATTTTTAGTCAATTATACATCGAAATAATGGTTTCCTTGTTGATTTCGTTGAATTTACTGTCAATGAAAAACTATGTTTAGTTTGTACAGATGTTGTAGTTTGTGTAGAGAGAAGAAAATCTGATTGGCTGCTTCTCTTGAGCTTCGCCAATCAAAAGTCAAGACATTTTACGCGATTTAAGCGTTTTTCTTACAATGAACGGTCTTGTGAAAAAACGATAGAGACTGCAGGGTCACTATAAAATCAATTATATCAGTACAATATAACATATTTTTACATTGACAATTCCTTAAATATCTCCAGAGAGAAGGAATTGATACA